CCGCGGTGGCCGAAGCGCACAGTCATCCCTCCGGGGCGCGGCCCGACACAGGCCTCAGGGGCCTGCGACCGCTTGCCAGGCGGTTCCAGCGCGGCTCGGTCGTGGGGAACCGCGGGGCAGCCCCGGCCCGGACCGGCCCTGCCTGGCCTCAGTTCCCCTCCTGCCTCGCCGGGTCGCTGGGGCAGCGAGACCCGGGCACTGCAGCCGCCCGCGTGGATGGGGGACCCTGGGGGCGTGGCGGCCGCGCCGACTCTCGGCCGGAGCCCGGGCCGAGGGACCCCACCGCGGGGCCGAGGGGTCGTTGATGGCCATTCCCGACCGCAGGAGGAGGGAGAAGCCGGCCAAGAATTTGGCCCACGCCCCCTCCCACCCAGTTGCTGGGAGAACCTACACCCGGGGCGGTGGCGCAGGGTTGGCATGTATTCATCTTTCTTAGTTACCTTCCCTGTCAAATGGAGGTCTCGTAGAGGTGATTGTCTAGTTCCCCGGCACGTATTCAATATTCATAAATACTTATTAAGACATGAAGATGAGCCACACGCAGGGTTGTTGTTTTTTGTGGGGTTTTTTTTTGTAAACTGTTTAAATCACTCGTATCTGGAACGATGCCCGGCACATAAAAATCGCAGAAAGAATTGCATAAATGTTCCTGGCTGGCGTACATCTTGGGAAGAGGGTGATTAATGTCTATTGAGCACCGACCACGAACCGGATGGTGTTCTAACTGCTTTTACGTGTCTTGAGTCATGTCAGCTTTGCATTTTGCAGCTAAGGTTTAGGGCGCTTCAGTTACGTGCTCAGGGCCTCACTACCTCGCAGGTGGGAGAGAGAACATTAGAACTCAGTGCTGTCTGATCCCAAAACCCAGCTTCTTCACCACCGTGTGCCAGGCACTTTACATATGATGGTTCGTTTAGTCCTGGCAGGACTGAGGTCCAGAAGACGAGCCCCCCGTTGTACAGGCGAGGAGTTGGAAGCTCGGAGGGTAATGAATATGCCAGGGCTACACAGCCAATAAGTAGTGAGTTTGGGATTTGTACTGGGCCTGTTGACTCCACCGTTCAAATTGCTTCCCCAAAGAGAGAAAGCGCCACACCTCTGCAGACCGTGTGAGCAGAGCTCCTGTGCAGAGCAGAAATACAAAGCGCAGACTCTGCCTGAAAGACCTGGGAGCTCACGGTGTTATTAGCATGCCACCAGCCCCAGTCTCCTCACTGTAGGTGGGGAAACAGTGTCACGCCTGTGGCATGATTTGCCTGGCCAGGCCATCACTTGAATGAAGGCACCTCTCAGTGCCTGTCACTCATATCCCATGACTGCACACTTGCTCCTTGCAAGCCTGTTACGTCCTGCAGTGGCACACTGCCTGCAGCCGGCAAGTTACATTATATCCCGTGAAGGCACACAGTTCCTAGTGGGATGATTATGTCCCACAACAGCTCACTGCCTCCTTTAAGGCCGGTGACCTTGAGGACGGAAGCCATGTCTTTTTCATCTCTGTAGACCCCCCTGCTCTTTATTTCTTTATGCAGAGTAAGTGATCAGTAAATGCCTGCCCATTGAGTCGATGAGAGAAACAATCACAAATGGCCAAAAGACTTCCATGTTCCTTGCGTGTAGAGCTAGACATGGCTCTATAAATATGAAAGGATTCTCTCATCCCTTGTGCAGGTTTGGTGGGATGGGTAGGAAACCGAGCCTCAGAGAGAGAGAGTAGAAGCAGCATCTGGACTGGCCTCACAGTTCCTGGCTCCTGGCTGTCACACAGGAGCAGAGAACAAGAGCCTGCGCACACTGCCTGGGATGGAACCTGGCTCTGCTCCTTACCAATTGTGTGACCTTGGCCGTTTTCTTAATTTCTGAGGACTTCTGTATTAACGGTAAAATGAGAGGATAGTAATTAAAATTACATAGGGTTCTTTGAGGATGAAGTGAGTTAGCACATGTGCAGTTACACTCAATGTGGCATATAAGTGCTCAGTAATTGTACACGGCTTTTACTAGATCATGTTTTTAAATAAAATGAGAATGAGGAGTGTCTCCATCCCAGCCTTCCTTCTTGCCTTTTCCCCCCTCAGAGTAGGTGGAATTTGTTTCAGGTAACAGTTGGTCTAATTTTCTGTGACCCTCAGGTACAGACCTACTTGTAAGTGTGGGCCGTATCTTTGTGTCTGTGCTCCTTTGTACTCAGAGGAGTTATGTGTTAGATGAAGGCCTGTTTACGGATCCCAAGTAACTACCTCTCTGTTTCAGATCGCCCTGGCGAGCTTTTATGAGGATGGAGGGGACGAAGACATTGTGACCATTTCGCAGGCAACCCCCAGTTCAGTATCCAGAGGCACAGTCTCTAGGTAAGGGCTATATGGGTGTGCTTCCAGCAGTGATGAGGAGCTGTTTCCTAGCTGACAGAGGGTTCAGGCCTGGGCATATGGAACAGTGAGTTTCAGTGACGCAGTTAGACTGACCGGTGGGTCCTAGTTCTTTGTCCAGAAGGAAAACTCTGGTGGCATTCTCAGAAGCCAAGCTTGTGCTAGCTCCTTAGAGGAACTCTATGTCGAGCCTGCCTTCCCCCAATCCAACCCTGTTTGACCTCACTGCTCCTTTCCTGTGGAGATATGCGTGACACTCTCAGGTGGGGACTCTTAGTGAGTGTGGTTTATGATCATCCTGGGGGAAACCTCAGAACCTCCTTTTCAGGTGTTTGAGGGTCTTTTATTTATGAAAGTCAGGAGTGGCCTCTTCATCTCTGAGGTTTCAGTAGAAACTGAAGGACTTCCTTCCAGGGGTGCTGTAGATGTACAAGATTAGACTTTAAAAGGGGTTTTGTTGTTGTTTTGGATTGTTTGTTTGTTGACATTTTAGGATGCCCATTACCCTATTAAGAAGTCTTAGAGTCCAGCTGGCGTGGCTCAGTGGTTGAGTGTCGACCTGTGACCCAGGAGGTCATGGTTCAATTCCTGGTCTGGGCACATGCCTGGATTACAGGCTCAATCCCATGGGTGGGGTGGGCAGGAGGCAGCCGATCAATGATTCTCTCTCATCATTGATGTTTCTATCTCTCTCTCCCTCTCCTTTCTCCTCTGAAATCAATACAAATATATTTAAGAAAAAAAAGTCTTAGAGAAAATAAATGTATTTGGGTTTGACTTCAATCCTGGAATATAGATATAGTGTTTCTTTGCCAGTGAGTTGCTAGTTGTGTTTCTGAGCCTTAAATTACATGTCCTTTATTTTTATTTATTTATTTACTTTTTGGTTAATCCTCACTTGAGGATATTTTTTCAATTAATTTTCAGAGAGAGAGGGAGAGAGAAACATCGATGTGAGAGAGACACATCAATTGGTTGCCTCCTGCATGCACCCTGACTGCAGCAGGGAATGAACCTGCAACCAACCCAGGTATGAGCACTTGAAAGGGAATTGAACCCCCCACCCTTTAGTGCTTGGCTGGTGCTTTAACCATTGAGCCACACCAGCCAAGGCACATTTCCTCCCTTCAACAGAACACTAACCCCCGATCTCATTGCTTCCTTAACTACTTTCCCTTCCTCCCATTTCCAGAAGAAAGAGGTTGTAGACAACTGATCCTTTCATTATTCCTAGGTGCTAACTTGTGAGATGTCCTTAATGGCACATCAGGTTGTTACTGCTTGGGACATAGTTATAGAATAAGGGCTCTTGCAGCTGCTGGTATAAATAGCTGATTTCATAGCCACCCCAGGTTACTGTTGGGGTGTTGGCATGTCAGAGAGATAGAGCGGGAGAAGTTGAAACTTAGCCTATGATGTCAGTCACGTATTCACACCTCTGTTTCCTAGTAATCCCAACGTCCTATTAAGGGAGTGGTTAAGAGATCTGTGACCTTGGGCAGGTTACTTAACATCTCAGTCCCTCAGTTTTTCTCACTTGTCAAATGGGAATGATAATAGTCCCTACCAAATAGGAGATTAAATGAGTTAATATTTACAAAGCACTTTGAACACAAAGAGCTATTATTGTCATTTTATTACTACTGGCATCCATTCTCACCTTCCCCATTTTTTCTTTATGTTTCTTGTCGTTTCACAGCCAGTATACATATTTAGAAATAGACATAAAGTAAAAGAATCAAGGAAATAGGAGAGTTTAATGTTAAGACTGAGGGCAGTAAAAGGCTGAACACATGCAGACCCAAAGGCCTTACTTTATTGCTTTGGTTAAACCTCAGACTTGGCATTGAGGGAAAGGAAGGGCAGTTTGTTGCAATGTTGTCCTTGTCCAGAAGGAAAACACTGACTACATTCTCAGAAGCCGAGCTTGTGCTGGCACCTCAAAGGAGTTCTGTGTGGGGCCTGCTTCTTCCCACCCCCAGTCCGGTTTGACTTGCCTGTTGCAGGACACTTAGTCTCCTCTGGGCTCTCCCCATGCTCCACTCTCTTTCATCTCAGGTATCTTTCATGTCGTCGCTGCTGCTATGAATGACAATTAGTAAGTTACTCCTTTGACTCTAGAGCAAGGGTTCTTAGTGGGGTGGCTCTGAACTCTTTGGAGAAATCCATGGAATGGTGAGAAGGTTCATAAATTACCTGAGATTGTAGGCAAAAATTGGTTTGTAGTATTTTTTCTGGCAAGGAAATCCATAGCATTTGTCAGATTCTCAAAGGTCTTCAGGACATAAAAAGGTTAATCATTGCTACAGGAGAAACTCTAAGTTCCTTCATAGTAACAGTCATTTATTGAGCACTTACCAAGTACCAGACACTGGATTAAGTCTGTACATATATCTCTTTAGTCCTCACTACTACTCTGTGAGGTGGATACTGCTGTTATTTCCATTTTACAGGTGAAGACACTGAAGCTGGGCATTTTCCCAAGATCACACCGCTAGTAAAACAAGGATCTAAATGCAGCAATCTGGTTCCAGCATTCAGCATTCAGCTGAATTGTGTCCTGCCTCTCCTTGTGGACTTTCAGGGTCCTCCAGAGTGCAGTGAACTTGCCATCCTAATTGTAACCCCCTTTTCTCATTCACCTCACTGATTTCTTGGTGTCTCAATTTTGCCTTGTTTTTGGTTCTTTCACTTTTGTGTGAGCCTCTTATCGGACGGGGCATGCCCACTCTTGCTTTCTGCCTGTCCAGATCTCCTGCTTCTCTCCGGGTTTAGCTTCACTCCCACCTTCCCTATTGAGCATGTTATCCCCAACCCACAGGCAGGACACCACAACCCTGTTCCTCAGAACTCCAGTCACAACTGTAATTCACTTATTTGACGCATATCCTTTTTCTGCTCGGTAACATCTCTACTGTGTTTTTGTGAACTCTTCTTCTGACATTTAACTTCGTTTTTTATCACTAAGTAAATCATAAGTCCCAAGAAGTGGTAGGGGCTGGTATTTCAGGATCACCCACATCTGTCAAGCTCTGCCAGGTATCCTCACGTTCTCTTATATCTCAGTAGCTGTGGAAGAAGGTAGGGTGCTCACCATTTCACAGGTCAAGATGCTGAGCCTTAGAAAGGTTGAGTAACTCACAGTTGCTCTTATGCCAGATTCAAGCCCAAGTCTGTCTAATTCCAGAGTTACTTCTACTTCCCCATTCAGCATCTCCCACCCCTGTACCTAGCACAGGGTCAACCAAGAGGTAGCAGTTAGTTCCTATTTTGTCTTTTTCTTCCATCTAACAAAACTATACTTTCTGAGAATTTCAGGGACTACCATTGTCTGATCTAAAACTATACTGTCCATTATAGCCACTAGCCTCATGTGGTTGTTTAATTAAAATTAAATATTTGTACTTAACCACATTTCAAATGCTCAGTAGCCACATGTGACTAGTGGTTTCTGTATTGGATAATCCGCACTGCAGAAAATGTGGTCTGGCAAAGGACATTTGTGCCACTTCAGGGTTCCAGGGTAGCCTGGGAGAGTTTTGATGTTAAGAAATTGAGATTTCTGAGACATTTTGCCAACTTGTGGAGGACATAGACAAAATATTCTGAAATTGGCAGTGTCCTCGAGACATCCATACCATTAAGGTAACTCTCAGAGCAGTGTTTCTCAAACTGGAACATGCATCAGAATTACTTGGAGGGCTCCTTAAAAGCAGATTGCCAGACACTCCTCCATAGTTTCTGTTTGAAGAGGTCTAAAGTGGGGTCCGAGGATTTGCATTTCTCACAGTTTCATAAGTAATACCGATGCTTTAGTCCAAGGACCAACACTTTGAGAGCCGCTGCTCAAGAGTAGCACTTGAAATGTGCTACATTATGCATCAGTACCCCGGTTGTTCACAGAAAGCCTGTGAGGTTGGTGTTATGATCATCTCCATTTCCACATGAAAAAACAAAGGCTTAGAAACTTTATTAGTATGCCCAGAATCCTAGGGTAGGACGCTCAGTTGGGATCAGACCCAGATATGTGGACATCAGAATCTGTATTAGGTAATGTCAGAGTCTAGATATAGGAACTTCTGGGGAAAGAAACCCATATCCAGAACAAGTGCTTTACTCAAGCAAGTGCACACATGTGTATTTGAAGGTGTTTAACAACAGAAAGCCAGGATTTTTTTTTTGATTTTTTTTTTTACCCATGTCATATAGAGCATCAAAGAATGCCCAGGAAGTTGCTCACAACTAACTTGATCAGGGAATGTATTCGCCTCATCAGTTGGTCTTTGTCTTCCCATTTCTAGTTGATGGAACCTCAAAGCCTGTTCTGTCCCCTACTTGTTTCCTTCTAGACTGAACTGGAACTTTCTTCCTAGTTAAACAATTCTTCCTTCCCTGTCTAGCCTCACTAAATCTGTATTGCCCTCTTGCCCCCATATCATAGGAATGCTATTTTTTTTCTCCTAAGAAATACAGAAAATGTTTTTATAAAATTTGTGTCTTGTGATCCTTGAAAAACTAAGATTGTTCTTCGTGGACAAATCTAAACTAGAAAAAAGTGGCAGTAAGACAACATCAGAAGAGGGAGTTAATCCTTCACACACCCATTTTGTGTGCCTCTCTACCACACCTCAGACAACTCTGCTTTTTTCTAAACACTAAAAATACTTATTTAAAAACATTTTTTTTTATTGATTTCAGAGAGAAAGTGAGAGGGTGAGAGAGAGAGAAACATCAATGATGAAAGAATCATTGATTGGCTGCCTCCTGCACGCCCCCAACCGGGTATCGAGCCCACAACCTGGGTATGTGCTCTCAACCGGAATTGAACCTAGGACCCTTCAGTCCACAGGCCAAAGCTCTCCACTGAGCCAAACCGGATAGGGCCATTAGTAAGTTTTTTAAATAGTGCATACCCCCATTTTGTTCCTCTCCCCCTTTCTAAACTTATTCTCAATCCTATGTCACCTTGAAGAAATAAATGCCACATTATTTTACATATAAACTTGGAGAGATATAAACTTGAAGACATATAAACTGTCTTCTACAAAGATCCTCTTCCTGTGCACCAAAAAATCTAACCCAGGTGTCCTCAACTCCTTAACAGCTGGTGATGGGGGTTACCTTTCATGAACTTCCCTGAGATAATGTTGTTCTTTTCTGCATCTCCAGCGATAACAGGGTAACATCCTTCAAAGACCTCATTCATGACCAAGATGAAGATGAGGAAGAGGAAGAGGGCCAGAGGTGAGTCTTTCATGGGGGAGCACAGTCCACAGAAAAATCCTTGATAATGTGTAAGTCATGGTAATGTGTAAGTCATCTAGAGGATAAACATGTTTGGTTATCATTAGCTGTTACTACTGTGGACTAGTCACACACATAGTAGAAACAGTCTCCCCCACCTCCCAGAGATAGCTTAGAAGTAATCCCTATCCCCTGTTACTACTGCTTTTATTTTGGTATATTCTGGGTTTATTTTTGTTTTTAATTGTTAAAATATTTGTTGAAGAAAATTATGGGAAGGGAAACAAATCAATAAGAAAGAAAAAAAGAACTTATAATACCACAACCCAGAGGTAACCAGGTATCAATATTTTTGTTGTATTTTTTTCCAGCATTTTCTTTTTAATTAAAAAAAGCAATGCATTACAGCCCTGACCAGTGTGGCTCAATTGAGTATCTTCCTGGGCACCAAAAGGTTGCTGGTCCGATTCCTGGTCAGGAGACATGCCTAAGTTGCTGGCTCAATCCCCAGTAGGGGGTATGCAGGAGGCAGATTGATGTTCTGCTCTCACATTGTTGTTTCTCTTCCTTTCTCTCCCTCTAAAAAATCAGTAAAAACAAAACAAAACATTTTTTTTTTTTTAAAAGCAATACATCATTCCCTGCTGGCATGTCTCAGTGGTTGACCTGCGACCTATGAACCAGGAGGTCACGGTTCAATTTTCCGTCAGGACACATGCTCGGGTTGTGGGCTCCATCCCCAGTGTTGGGCATGCAGGAGGCAGCCGGTCAATGATTCTCTCTCATCATTGATGTTTGTATCTCTTCCTCTCCCTTCCTCTCTGAAATCAGTAAAATAATATTTTAAAATAAAATAGCCCTGACCGGTTTGGCTCAGTGGATAGAGCGTCAACTTGCGGACTCAAGGGTCCTAGGTTCGATTCCAGTGAAGGGCATGTACCTTGGTTGTGGGCACGTCCCCAGTAGGGAGTGTGCAGGAGGCAGCTGATCGATGTTTCTCTCTCATCGATGTTTCTAACTCTCTATCTCTCTCCCTTCCTCTCTGTAAAAAATCAATAAAATATATTAATAAAAATATAAAATAAAAAAAAATAAAAAGCAGTACATCACATAATAAACAATAAAAGGCTTATAAATGTTTCTTTCCCCCACTATACATGCACCCATACTGTTTGTTTTTAACTTTTAGGAATGTTATGAAATTAGTGTTCATTGTAGAAAATACAGAATAGTGTAATAAAAAAAATACAAACACTCATGTACTATTTGGTAACTACATTAATATTTTGGCCTGTTTTCACTTGGTCTTGGTTCTGTGTATGAATATACTTTGTTTTAAATACTGTATTTTACATGGTGACAGATAATTTTGTTTTTTGTTCTGTTGGGTTACTGCTACATCTTAAATACTTCATGTCGTTAAAATTATAAGTGTTTTCAATGACTATAATAATACATCATATGGCCCTGACCAGTTTGGCTCAGTGGATAGAACGTCAGCCTGCGGACTCAAGGGTCCCGGGTTCGATTCTGGTCAAGGGCATGTGCCTTGGTTGCGGGCACATCCCCAGTGGGGGGTGTGCAGGAGGCAGCTGATCGGTGTTTCTCTCTCATCGATGTTTCTAACTCTCTATTCCTCTCCCGTTCTCTCTGTGAAAATCCACGAAATATATATATATATATGTATATATATATATGGAAAATAATAATACATCATATGGATGTCCAACATTTAGATTGTTTCATTTTTTAACACTATAAATATTAGTGCTGTGAACATATCTGTCTATTAATCTTTGACTACATTTCAGATTATTTTCTTAGAATAGTTTCTAGAAATGAAAATACCAGGTCATGACCATGAATGATGAATGTTTTTTGTTCTGTTTTTTGAATGAATTTACTTTAGTGTTTGTTTTTTTAAAATTTTTATTGCTGAAAGTATTACAGCTGTCCCATTTTTCCCCCCATTGACCCCTTCTGGGCAAACCCCTGCCCCCCACCTCCCACCTCTGGTCTTTATCACACTATTGTGTGTGTCCATGGACTATGGGCATGAATGATTTTAAGGCAATTGATGAACAGGCCCCTAGTTCATAAGCAAGGCTTGGAGATCCCTTACAGTCCATTGAGCAGAATTTCATCTACCCGGAATGAGCAAGAAGAACTGGTTGCAGCCTCATTTCACGGGTTTTGCTTCTCCCTGGACTCTGCCTCGGTCTGTCAGACATTCCTAAGGAACATTGTGTAATAACCATTATGGATATGCAGTTAGGTTATCATGGTCATTTGGGAAGTGGGCTGAGAAATTGCATGTGTTTTATTCTCTGATTTCATTTCAATACACTTTACACTGCCTTCAGCCTTCTTGGGTACACTCAAGGTTCAGAAATAAATGTTAATTTTGGGGTTTTACACTCCTTGAGTGACAGGAAATGTCATCAAGTATGTGACTGCCCCGCTCCTAAATGACCTCTTCTTCCAGGCATAGACTCTTCATTTCACATCCTAATTACTTCCTTGGCTCCTCAGCATTTTAGACCTCATGACTGGTGGTAGTGTTCTTTGCCAAAGCCTATAGCTTTGCCTTGCATTTCTTTTCTCTTTTTATATATATTTTATTGATTTTTTTACAGAGAGGAAGGGAGAGGGATAGAGAGTTAGAAATATCAATGAGAGAGAAACATTGATCAGCTGCCTCCTGCACACCCCCTACTGGGCATGTGCCCACAACCAAGGTACATGCCCTTGACCGGAATCGAACCTGGGACCCTTCAGTCCTCAGGCCGACGCTCTATCCACTGAGCCAAACCGGTTAGGGCTGCCTTGCATTTCTTAGGGAATGTCAGGAAATGAAAGGTTGAGACTGATTTTTATAGGTTCTTAATTCCCCCTACCCAAGTACATGCTATTGACTCGGCTGTGAATAGGAGTCATAAGGAGGCAGCTAGCCAGGCTATGTGACTCCTGGTTTTCAGACCCAGGTAAAAAAGTGCTAACTTAATCTCAAGCCATGCTTGTCCCATTGCAAAACCCAATGTGGGTACCTTCAGGCTTGTTTTTGAGCATCCTGACCTTTTCAAATACCCTCACCACAGTGCCCCCAGTATATGTCACAAGAATAGCAAGGTGAGGTAAGGCTTGGGTGAACTCTTGGTGCTGTGTCACACCACCTTACATGTGTGCATTACTTTGTGCTTGTTCTTTTGCATACATCTGCTGATTTGAACCTCGGCCCTGACTTAAGGAGCAGGTAGGTAGGGCATGTGATTTTTTTCCCTCCCATTTCAGAGACAAGGAAAATAAGATACAGGGCAATGCACTGGCTTGCCCAGGGTCACTCAGCAGCAGAGCCAGTACTGGAGCCTCGCTGCCTGTACTAACTATGCCACTGTCACCATTAGCACAGAACTGCTAGTGGTAGCTGCTTGTGACTGTGGCCATAGTTGCTATGTTCTGGAGAGGTGTTGGCCACTGGATGGCTAATTGTCAGTTGGGACTCTCCGAAGCTGACTTGCTGTCATGCATGCATGGAATGCCCTTCCCTGATTTCTTCACTTGATAATCTCATCCTCTTACTCAAGACTCAGCTCTGAAGACACCTTTCTTAGGAAGCCTTGACTGTCCTCCCCAGCTCAGTGTTTCCAGAGTACCCCTTATACTGGCCTCTGTTGCTGCTCACACTGCATTATGCCTGCCTGCCTCCTTACATGTGTCCCCAACTAGATAGTAAGTTCCTTAAAAATAGGCATAGTACCCTTCTCCTCAATGTGCCCAGCACCTAGCCCAGAACCTGGTACATACTGTATTTGTGTTTTCAAGTATGTTTGGTGTTAGATGTGTATTTTCCGCACAGGTTTTATGCCGGAGGCTCGGAGAGAAGTGGACAACAGATTGTTGGTCCTCCCAGGAAGAGAAGTCCCAATGAGCTGGTGGATGATCTATTTAAAGGTGCCAAGGAACATGGAGCTGTAGCTGTGGAGCAAATGACCAGGAGCCCTGGAGAGACCAGTAAACCAAAAGTGAGCATAGAAGTTCGTCTCTGTCCACAGGACTCAGGTTCCAGCAAGAGAAGGAGGCCCTCCTCACCCCAGTAGTGACTGAATTTTTGTTTTGTTTTTCATTTGTCGCTTACTCTCATACACAGAAGAGCAGCACGGTTTCTCCCACCCTTTAATATGAAATAAGATTTGGAGCAATGTTTTCAAACTTGTGACCTGTGGTCTGGGTTGGGTTCTGCACACATTTTATATGGCCTATCCAATTTGACTTAGTGTTTTGCTTTATTTTGTTTTAATTGAATTAATAGGCACCTGTTTTATTTAAAATCTGGATTTCTGTCTCTTTGGGGAAATCAAAAATTCTGCCGTTATCCTATACACCAATTTCTGCCTGGTGATGATTAACTAGAGCTAGGAGCAACTGTTCCCTTGAGCCAAGCAGCATTCCCCTCTTCCAGTTCTCACCCTAATCCTGGCCACTTAATGACCAGGCATGCAAATGGCTCTGCAGTTCCACCTGGGCCTGTAGCTCTACATTTGTGGAAAGTGGATCTAGTAGTTAATGAGCTTTTAATACATCATTGTATGTGAGTAACCCCACCTCTATTGACCCATTCCTCAAGTCTTTATGAATTTTTCTTTTATAGCCATTTGCTGGGGGTGGCTACCGCCTTGGGGCAGCACCAGAGGAAGAGTCTGCTTACGTAGCAGGAGAAAGGAGGCGGCATTCCAGTCAAGATGTGAGTGTGCATCTACCTTCCTTAGGGGGAAGTTTGTGAACTGTTCTACCATTTTTCAGAAGGGATTGGTCATGTTACATATGAACCAGCAGCCTGTGAAAGGGAAGAGACAGTGCCCTTGCTGTGGCCCATGAACAGAGAAGCTTACCTGAGAATCCAAGGTAGCTTTCATCTGGCTGGGCAGAGGGCTCTGAGAAGGGGTAAGCAGAGGGGATGGACAAACAAAGAAGTCTACTGGCACTCCATGGATCTCAGGCAGAGGGGCAGTATATTCAGGGTTGTCTGGTGGGATAGGCAAAGCTAAAGAATGATCTCCAGACAACCAGAAGAGGCGTGAAATGCAACTTTAAAAAGAAAATTTCCTTACTATTACCCAGTTCTCTTGTCCTTGTGCATACGGGTCCCCCCTTCAGTAAGACTAATCATATATACTAGAGGCCCAGTGCACAAAATTTGTGCATTGAGGGGGAGGGTCCCTCAGCCTCGCCTGCACCCTCTCACACTCCAGGACCCCTCACTCCTTATCCCCCGCCTGCTTACTGCTCCTTAGTGCTGTCACAGAGGCAGAGAGGTTCCTGCCACCGCCGCTGTGCTCACCAGCCGTGAGCCCGGCTTCTGGCTGAGTGGAGCTCCCCCTGTGGGAGCACACTGACCACCAGGGGACAGCTCCTGCGTTGAGCATCTGCCCCCTGGTGGTAAGTGTGCATCATAACAACCAGACATTCCACCGGTCATTCCACAGTTTGGTCGATTTGCATATTAGGCTTTTATTATATAGGATAAACAATTTTGAGGTTGTTTTAATTTAATATTAATGCCATAATCTTTTTTTTAAAGTTCTCTCTTTTTTTAAAAATATATTTTATTGATTTTAGAGAGAAAGGGTGAGGGAGAAAGAGATAGAAATATCAATGAAGAGAGAGAATCATTGATCGGCTGCATCTGCATGCCTCCTACTGGGGATCGAGCCCACAACCCGGGCATGTGCCCTTGACACAGAATTGATCTCAGGACCTTCAGTCTTCAGGGTGACGCTCTATCTACTGAGACAAACCAGTTAGGGCCATAAACTTTTTCATATAGCTTTGTCACCATTAGTTTCCATAATGTATTCATTTTTTAATCATTTGGGCTTTTATTCCAAAATAAAAGGCCAGGAAGAAGAAAATAGAAATTCTATTCACCTGAGGCAGCTGCTAATATGTTGGTTTTTAGCCTTCTAGACCCTTTTCTATGAATACATATAGGGAGTTCTAGATATTTTTAATGACTGCTAAATAGTCTGTAGGTAGTTTAGTTGAGCACAAGCTACATGCCAAGCACATTGGCAATCCTTCTGATGAGGAAGCCACAGTTTCAATTAAGTCATCTGCTCAGAGCAGACACTGAGCTAGCGATTGGCAAAATGAAAGCACAGACCCAGGTCTGCTTAAATTAAAGCCCATCCTTTTAATCTGTGCTATATTATCTTCTTATTTTAGGTTAATACTTATTTGATTGATTGGTTATTTCCTGAGCATACATTAGTATTTGTGTTGTATTTATTTATTTATTTATTTATTTATTTATTTATTTAAGAGAGAGGAAGGTTAAGAGAGAGAGAGAAACATTGATGAGAGAGAAACATCAACATCAATTGGCTGCCTCATGCACACCCCCTGCTGGGGATTGAGCCGGAAACCTCGCGGCTCTGACCGGGAATCGCACCTATGACTTCTTGGTGCGTGGGTTGATGCTCACCCATTTAGTCACACCAGCCAGGCTGTCTGTCTGTCTGTGTTTTAATAATGGCACAGTAAAATAGTAAAAACATGCTAACTTGCAGGTTCACAATGGTGTGCTTGCGAGGTTCCTGACAATGTATGGACTGCTTACCTCCTCTTGTCACAGGTTCATATAGTGTTGAAGCTCTGGAAGAGTGGATTCAGCCTGGACAATGGTGAACTCAGAAGCTACCAAGACCCATCTAATGCCCAGTTTCTGGAGTCAATCCGCAGAGGGTGAGCAGAAAAATCCTCTTCTAGATTCCATGTCATTGAGTGAGATGGGTGATCTGAGTATTTACTATTTAAGAAGCAAACATTTGTAAGCAGATTTAGCACAGTTGAGGTATAGATTCACAGATCTGCTTCTGTGTCTTGTTTTGTTTGGTCCTTGAGCATAACCAACTGACCAAATAAATACAGGTCTCTACCATGCCTTTGAGTAGACAAGAGAGAAGGGGAGGCAAACAGATAGCCATGAGAGTAGCCAGCTTTCTGTGAAGGCCCAACGATTTTCACTGAAAAGTTTATACTATCACTGTCATTCCCATCCTTCTCTGTGTGGGTCCCAGCATTGCATTTTCTCCTGCAGGGAGGTGCCAGCAGAGCTGCGGAGGTTAGCTCATGGTGGGCAGGTGAATTTGGACATGGAGGACCATCGAGATGAGGACTTTGTGAAGCCCAAAGGAGCCTTCAAAGCCTTCACGGGCGAGGGTCAGAAACTGGGCAGGTAAGGAGCAGCACAGGTAGGAGTGGAACTGCCTGTTAGGCTCAGCATATCCTGTGTATTGCTCACTTTGTATAAGTCTTTACTCTTTACAAAGTATTTCACATTTTATTTTTATGGGAGGAAAATTATGGAGAATGTGGTCTTTGATGTTAATAGACCTGAGTTTAAATCTTCATTTTCTAGCCCCATGCATGACCTTGGATTGTATAGCCTCAGTTTTCCCAGTTATAAAATGGGACTGATGAGAGTCCTTACCTCTTTGATTATTGTTTTGAGGAGCACACAGAGCACTGCCCCACAATGAGCAGTAAGGGTAACACATTGCTGCTTTGACTCAGTAATTTAGAGTGTGAAGCCTTGATGGCTTCAGGCTGAAACAGACACACATACTCAGGTCATCTGAAATGGGGATTCAGGGGGAATAAGGGATCTTGGACTCTTCCCTCCCAGCAAGCCCTGCAGCAGCATTGTTCAGGATCCAGAAAAGCTCAAGGATACTGTTGCCCAGTGCAGGCTACTGGTCAATCATTATGTTAGCTCTTATCTCTTACTTCTGTGGTCCTTCCTGATACTCACTCTGTCACTTCCTGTGACTTTTCTGCCTGTGTCCTCTGCCACGGCCTCCATCTTGCATTCAGACCTCTGATGAGATCTGGTTAATTGATAGGCACTGTTACCTCTGATAGGCAGAGTTCTCCCACCAGACCCTTGACCAGCCTATATGCAGGCTGCCTTCTCTTAGGGTCCCATTCACTTTGGCCATGGTCATGGGGTCACTTGACCATTATTCTTCAGAGGGAACTGAGTACACATGAGAGGTACTCAGAGCATAGTCCTTATTTTACAAAGAGAAAGCTGAGGCTCTTGGACTTTAAGGCTTACCCTTGGGTACATGACTGGTATGTGTTTGAGCCAGAACACGGGCTTCTAATGGCATTCCTTCCCACACTCCTGCATCACAAGATATCCTCTCTGACCTAGATCTGGTAGCTCTTCCATTGCCCTTGCTCTTCACCCTTATCTGCAGGGATCAAAATGTGGTCTATCAACAGCTGTGCTCTTTGAGCTGCTGGCTGGCCCTCTCCTAGGATTCCCTACCTCCCTGTCGGCCATCATGCCTCATCAGAGGCAAGGATCATAGCTCAGGGCATTAGAGACCAACAGAGTATAATTTACCAGAACCAACTTAGTTAAGTCCACCCTGCTCATCATTTCACCTACCACATTGGGGTCCTGGGTTAGTCCAGGACAACTATTCTCAAGGTAGTCCATTTGTAGCTTCCCTGTCAGCTATGGTAAGCTTTGTAGAGCTCCAGATAATTTTTTTCTTTTAATATTATTGAAATTGATTGTGTTTATCTTTTTAAAAAAATAGAAAATGCAGATAAAGAATAAAAACTATTCCTAAACCTAACTCCCAGTATACTCAGTCAGTATTCTGGAAGTATCCTTCTAGTTTTACTGGTATATGTACAATATGTGTGTAAACATGCTGTTTTAGCACCTGCTATTTTGCCTAATCCATATAGTATTGCTGTCATTCCATATCAGCAGATGTATTTCTATAACTTTATTTCTAATGCTAATATAATTTTCTGTCCTATGTATGTGCTATAATTGAACCAGTCTCTGCTGTTAAACATTTAGGCAGCTGCCAGTATTATGAACAACATTGCAGTGAATATCTCTAATTAAATCTTTGTATGCCCCTTAATCATGGACTAGGAGTAAAATTGCTGGCTCCAAAGGTCTTCACATTTTTACATTGTCAAATTGATCTCCAAAAAAGGTTTTATCAGTTTTTTACCCATCAGCAATTATAGGGAAAGGCTCAGAACACCATGTAGTTTGGGGATTGTTCAGTTTCATAATACTAACAGGAAATGCTTATACTATTAGAAGATACAACAATATTAGGTGTACAAGACTCCGCATCTCAAAAAATGAAAATATTTTTAAGGCAGTCTGTTTTAGCAGGATGGGAATACATACTTTATTAGTGTGGAGGATGAACCCACAGATGGAGACAGTTTGATAATCAGGTGTGGTGTTTGTCAGCTAAATAAATGTTCATTGCCAGTTCCACTTTCATTTTATTTCAGTTCTGGTGTTTTTTTATTTTTAATGTGTTCTTTAATTGACTTTTTTTGTTTGTTTTTTAAGAGAGGGAGGGAGAGAGAGAAAAAACATTGATGTGAGAGCAAAATATCAATCAGTTGGCTGCCTCTGGCACGCCCCCTATCAGGAATAGAGCCCACAAGCATATGCCCTGCTGGGGACTCAAACTGGCAACCTTTTGCCCTAGCCGGTTTGGCTCAGTGGATAAAGCGTCGGCCTGTGGACTGAAGAGTCCTGGGTTCGATTCTGGTCAAGGGCACATGCCTGGGTTGTGGGATCGATCCCCAGTGGGGCGTGCAGAAGGCAGACAATCAATGATTCTCTCTCATTGATGTTTCTATCTTTCTCTCCCTCTCCCCTCCTCTCTGAAATCAATAAAAAATATGTCAAAAATTACTTTTAAAAAAACAAACAGGCAACCTTTTGGTGCACAGAACAATGCTCAATCAACTGAGCCACACTGGCCAGGGCTTTAAAAAAAAGTTTTGTATAGTTAAGTGAGATGGGATTTTAGCTTTTTAGTCTAAACCAGATGGATAACCTTTTGGGTTTGTTTTTTGTTGTTGTTCCATTTTGTGGGGGGTTTTTGTTTGTTTGTTTTTGTGTGTTTTTTAATTTTACCCATAAATTTTACTGTTTTCCATTGTCATCTTGTCAACTAAAATGATCAGGAACCAAAAGTTTAAAAAAATTTCCTCAGATTTGCCTCAAAAGTCAATCCTGGGGTTTTTTCTCTGATGATCTGGAAAAATACTTTGAAGTGAATGAATAGATTGTTCTCAGTTGAAAAAATTCTTTCAGTTACATTACACTTACTTTATTGTTTTAGCTGTTGCAGTTTGCATGGGAACTAATTTGAAGGTTTGGATAAGACTGCATTTATTTGAGTTTGAGTAACAAACACCAGGAGTTGCACTTGGGTGGAGCTGGGTCATTACAGTGTGGGGATGAGCTTTGGCTGCTCACCTTGCTTTGTAGTAGTCAATTTTGATGGCAGGGTCTCAGAACTTATAATTGTGGAAACAAAGCATCTTAGTGTCTACTTTATTTTCACTACAAAGGAAATGAGCAGTCAAGTGATTCAAGCTCTTGATCTGAATAAGACTCAGTTTCCCTGTGACTCATGATATTTTCAGGGAGACAGTAAAGAAACTCCTTTTTTGATAGATGTCTGATCTGATCTGACCATTCCTGCCCCTGGATGAAGTGCCCTCACTGCTACAGATGGCCCAGCCACTGCTGGAGAGGAATGACTCAGGTGATAGCAGTTCTCAAGCACCAGACACAGACTGGGCATCCCTTGAACATGGCTGTCCTACACAATGATTAGAACAATATAGATCTAATGTTCTTTGAATGTCTTGCTTCAAATTAGAATCACAAGGCCAGTATTGAGGTTTCTCCTCCACTCCCTACCTCTGAGCTTAGGCTGGAGTGCCTCTCAAGTGACCTTCCATTTACAGCCCATGGGTAGACAGTAGCATCTCTGAGTGATTTGGGTCCAGAATTTAGGCAAACATAAATGGAAGAGGACCTTGAAGAATGATAGCAATCAGCTATTTGAGTGTTTTTCTACAGTTAACTAAGCACTATACTAAGCATTTCATATGTATTATGGCCTTTAATCCTGTTTTGATCCACATTCTACAAATAAGGATTCTGAGGCTAATTTTTTTTCTTGTTATTAAGTTTACTAGAGGCCTGTTGCACGAAGAGATTCGTGCAATAGGCCTTCCTTTCCCCTGGGTGCTGGCACCGGTTTGCCTCTGGCACCCGGGGCCCAGGCCTTCACTCTGGCCGAGTTCTGGCCGGAGCCAGCCCCGGAGCCATGAGGCCTCACTGCTCTGCTGGCCCGGCCCCGGGGCCATGAGTCCTCGCTGCTCCGCTGCCCCGGGCCGTCAGGCTTCGCTCCACCAGTTGGAGCCTACATATGCAAATTAAACGCCATCTTTGTTGGTGGTTAATTTGCATATCATGCTGATTAGCCCATGGGAGACGTAGCGAAGGTACGGTCAATTACCATGTTTGTCTATTATTAGATAGGATTGGAGTGACACTGGTTAACAAAATTATACAGGTTTCAGGTGCATAATTCTACAACATGTTAACGTAAAAATAGTTAAACCTGTAAAGAATTTTTGTGAGTTTATTTGAGCCAAACTGTCGACAATTGCCAGGAAGCAGAACCTCAATGGTTTGGGATAATGCTCCAGAGAATGGCGGTCTTTTATCTATTTTTATACATTGCAATCAAAGGAGGAGATATAGGTGGGTTACATGAAATCCACTGGTGATAGACAAGAGAGGTAGGAGAAAGCAAAGTGGGGAAACCCCTGGGATTGGATAAAAAGCAAAATGATAGACACATAAGTGGGTGCAGGATAGTTAACAATCAACAATTAACATGACAACAATGACAACAAAGGAATTTGTGGTATCTGTCCTGGCGCCCAGGCACATTAGGTTGTGACCCAAGGGGCCCAGAAAAAGGGAAGTTACAAGTTACCCAGATGTTTCAAGGATGTGTTATCATAGATGCAAAAAGACAGATAGGCTCAGTTAAGGTAAAGGATGACCTTATCAGTGAAGATACCGGCCTAGGAGGTGACTACCCACCAACTGCTTTTAGTTAAATTTTAATTTCAGACCATCCTTTGTGGTTACTTAGGTCTTTGAGTTTGCAAGACTGCCATGTCCCTCCATACTACATTTTACCCTGGAATATATCAGACAGGAAGGGAGAGGGAGAGAGAGAGAGAAAAATCAATGATGATAGAGAATCATTGATTGGCTGTATCCTGCACGCCCCCCCATTGGGAATCGAGCCCACAACCCAGGCATGTGCCCTTGACCCGAATCGAACCTGGGACCTTTCAGTCCACAGGCCGACGCTCTATCCACTGAGCCAAACCAGCAAGGGCTACCCTGGATGTTCTTACATAGCCACATAGACTTTTATTTGTGTTTTTTCTATCTTCTGGGTATGGTGCATTATTTTTAGCTATTATCTTAGTAATTATGGGGGATTTTATTTAACTCCCATTTTATTGATGAGGAAATTTCATCTTGGGGGTAATGTTTCTGAAATCAAGTCTAGGTCTGCCTGACTCCCAGACATGGCAGGAGAGTGTGGTAGGTGTTAGGAGCACAGGACCTAGAACTAGACAGCTTGGATTATATCCTGGCTTCACCTAGAACCAACACTGGAATTTTGGGTGAGTTGCTTAATCCCACTGTGCCTCGGTTTCCTCATCTGTAAAGTGGAGATGCTGAATCCCTTCCTTGCAGGCTGTTGTGAGGATTAAGTGAACTAATACTTGTAAAGTACTCAGCACAGGGTCCAGCTTGGTAATGGGTGCTTTGTAAACATACACTATATTCATCATGCTTCCCTAACCCACCTTATTTTCAGAGTATGCAAGAGAAACAGTCAGACGCATGGCAAGTCCATGTATCAGGCTTTCTTTGACCTTCAGATGATGAGCACCAGCTCTATGCAAAGGCTGTACTAGGAAGAAAGCCAAAAATACCAGTTGCTTTCTTGTTTGGAGTGTCCTGTCTTGGGCATTCTGCATACATTATCTTATCTAATCCTCATGGCAGAACAGTTCCTTGTGCTACACCTGGAGAAACTGAAGCCCTGGGAAGTCAAGTGACTTGTTCAAGGCCAGTCCTCTTGTTTAATTTAGTGGTAGAGCTGGGACCAGATGGCCGGTCTTATGCTCTTTCTCCAGCATCACACTGACTCCTGAATAATAATGGCTGCCATTTAGTAGCCTGAAATTCTCTGCAAGTGATCAACAAGTGTAACATGAAAAGAACATGGTGCTAGAATAAGTTTGCCTTAACTGCACAATCTCTCAAGACCTTTAATACACTATGATGCTGCTGGTGTAGTAATATGTGGCATTTCTGAAACTTTCCTGGAGATATCTCAAGGGACTAGGACCCCAGGAAGCACACTTGGGAAACGACTTTCAGTTGAATGTGCTAAGAGTACCCTTCTTAGGTTTAAAGATCAGAGGGAAGGGAGAGGTATAGGGACTGAGCTGATTAGAGGCTTTGAGGGGAAATAAGCAAGCTTTCGTCTAATAGCCTCTGATCTGCAAAGGCCTAGCCAGGGCATCTGCTAAGACAGTGGTCGGCAAACTCATTAGTCAACAGAGCCAAA